TGAGATTGTTCAATGAGAAAGAGAAAGAGAGCTGAAAGCGGAGTGAATAGGAAAAAGTAAAGTAAAGTTTAAGTGAAGAAAAGTTAAAGGAAAGTCTGAGTGTCATAACAAACTGGAGTGAAACAGTGAACATATATGGCATTGAGATAAACAAGTGTTACAAAGTTACATGAAAAGATCCCTGTCAGTGAGGGAGAAGATTGTGTGTGATACCAAAGCAATTGTTCATCATTTACACATTACTAGTTACATTGTACCACCCTCTTATTTAGTATTTATTTCAATAAATCCTCTTTTATCCAAGTTTATACCAGCTCTGAATGAAATACTTCCCAGGACCACATAGTTCCTTGAACTCGGTCTACCAAACTAGTAAGAGCAAAAGTAAAAGCATAAAGGTTTGGAAATCCTTAAAATTTCCTGGTGGCAGCAGAATCTACCCTGTTAAACAAAAGAAAAATAACTTTTAAAGTGAAACTAGTTCTCCCCAATAAGGAGGATGTCACAGTGGCCCTGGTGTGAAATGACGGTCTCAGCAGAGTTGGAGGCAACCTTTCAAATGCACCCAAAAGAAGGGCAGGAGGGCCTCTCCAGAGAAGGAGGCTCCAGAGAACTCGCAGAAAAGGGCTCCTCTGTCAGCATCAAAAAAGGCCACGCGCCCCCCAGTGTAGTTCAGACAGACCTGGATCCTCTTGAGCTCCCCCCTCACAGTCACAGGTGGATAATGACCTTTTACGGAAGCCTTGTAGCTGCCCCTCCACTTCCCCACAGCCCAGACCCCTTCCTCAGGACCAAAGGAGAACACACCTTTCCTCCTCACAGACCTTCTGGCCACCCCCACAGCCCATTCCCCCTCACTTCCCACAAGGACTTCCCAGAAATGGCGGCCTGCTCTGAATCCCTCACGGCCCAGCACAGCACGAAACCGGTCAAATCTCTCCGGATTGTTGGGCAGAATCTGAGCTTTTTCTCCTGGTCTCATGCTTTTCCCAGCGTTGTACAAGATGAGTTCTGGATGGGCCGTGTCCTGATCCAGAGTCACTTTTGCTGGGGGGGGGGAGGAGAGAGAAGAGAAGCGGGTTCAGCTGGGAGACAAACAGCAGAGTTGTTTGCCACGTGTTCCTGATACTATTGTTAGTGTCCCACATATGTCCATTTCCTGTGGATCTCCCTGACCTGACCTAGTTGGTTGTTTAACATTTCTGTCATTGTAGTGTGTTCCTTTCCCCTTTCCTGCTTTTTGGTTTTAACCCTCACCTGGGCTCACAGGCTCTCCTTCCATCCCCTGTCCTATTAACTTCCTGGGCTTGAAGAAACAGTAGCAACATCGTGTGAATACAGCCTCTTTTCCATATCCTATATCAAAGAAATACGCTGAGGGAGAAGCAAAGAGTAGTGTATATTGCAGGGATCCCCAACCTTTTTATGCCACGGGCACATTCTGATACTACGTGGTGAGTGCAGCAACAAAATGGCTGCCACAGGAGCCACAAAATGGCTGCAGAAGCTTGTCTTATCTTTAGGCACACAGTGAAAATCCTTTTCCTGTCATACAGCAAATGGCTGCCACAGGAGCCACAAAATGGCCGCAGAAGCTTATTTTTAGGCACACAGTGAAAATCCTTTTGCTGTCATACAGTTGCTGCCAAAGCAACAGATCCACAGATGATCAGTGACTGCTAGTCATGGTGAATAAAGGGAACCTCCACATTCAGAGGCAGTCAACCTCTGAATCCCAGAGCAAGGAGGCAACGTCCGGGGAAGGCCTTGGAACTGGATGGCCACTTTGTGAGATGCTGGGTTAAATGGACCACAGTCCTGATCCAGCAAGGCCCTTCTTATAAGATGAAAGGAGGCAGTTCATTCCCTCAGAATTTACCTTCTCTGACATCCTGATAAATCCTGACAGGCTTCCTCAGAATGAAGCACTGACGAACTTGTTGGGACAGGGAGGGTGAGATTTTGAGGAACAAGAGTAAACTTATCACTCCAAAAACACCAATCAGAAGAACAGATTGCGAGGTGACGCTTTTTAGTTTAGAAATAATGGATTAATGCATGGAATGTACCTTTCTGCATGCAAACTCCAGAATCCAGATTACCTGCAGATATGAACAGAAAACAAGCAGTCAGCCCCTGGGTATAGCACAGATTTTGCAACAATAATGAGTTAACATTCTTTTCTTGGTTTTAGCTGAAAGGTTAGGTAGACATGTGCAAACATTCAAATTTCTTTACATTTATTTTTCTCACTGTTCCTAATAATTGCTGCTGTTGGACAGAATGTATTGAATTTGGCAAAGTGACATTTAACTACTAAAAAGGACAAAGAATGATCATGAATACTCTTATCTAGAATTTATTTGCTTTGAGTTACTTGAGACTCGCTTCACAGAAAATATGCTGGGGACTGCAGCCCAAAGGTCCAATCTAGATAAGCCTAAGGTGTTTCCACACAGACGTTTTCTCTGATTTGGCATCCAAACTGGAGCAGGGGATTTTTGAAGAGCCACATAATGTTGTCACCAATTTCCCACTTCCTGGGACTTCCACTGCTCTGCTCTGAAATTTCCAAAATCCTGTCAGATACAAGCTTTTTGGAAAGATTGCAGTAAAATGTGTGGACAGGAAAGTGGGCATTTGTGAAGGTCCTACCTATATCGAAACACTTTTTCTTGACTCTTCCCTCTCAGTGGCTGCTATTCACTTCCCCCCGCACACACTACTTTCTCTACTATTAATAGGTCCTCTGAATTCCCAGCTTTCATTCTCTTTTTTTTTTAAAGTAAGACTCCAGACTTTCTTGCTGTAGAAATACAAAGGGGAAGGTGATCCCTTATTTCTCTGCAATGAAAACAGCTGGAGTCTTTTTCAATAAAAATCAAAAAGTGTGAATTCAGAAGAACCAGCAGATCATGGCAGAGAGGCATTATGAAAAGGGTTCGAAATTTACTTTTTAGTGTTGGGTTGTTGTTTTATTTAAAATGCTAATTGTAAATCATGGCAATAGATTTTTATAGTCTTAATTTGCAATAGTGATTAGTCCATTTCCTATTTTGGGGGAAATCCTAAATAACTTGATAAATTTCTGTCCTGCCTTTTTCCAAGATGTTCACAGCAGCAAAGATGGGGTTACTCGTGGCCTTCCAATCAGGTATTAGCCATGTTTCTTCAGAAACAGAATGTCTCACAGTACCATCCCAACAAAGTTTGAGTCCCGTATTAATCATCGAATGCTTGGTAGATAGGATAAGTTAAAAATTAATTACTATAGTGAAATAATAGTTACCTAGTGAATTACAAAAAGAAAATTGTTGTTGTAAAAATTAATAAAGAGATGGGCAGGAGGTCGAAGCACTGTGGGAAGCCATATATTAGGGAGGGGAAAAGGGAGGTGGGTAGGGTATGAAAGGGACAAGTGTAAAAAATTTAATGTTGATTATGAATGTTTATATCCTAAATAAAAATTTTTTTGACAAAAAACAAAAACAAAGTTTGAGTCCCGTGGTGCCTTTAAGACCAACAAAGTTTTATTCCTGGTGTAAGCTTTCACACTTCCTCAGATACACTGAAATGGAAGTGACCAGTCCATACATATAGGTGGGGTGGTGGTTGCCAGGAAGGGCTACTTAAGAGTCAAGACGCATAAGTAACTGAGCAATAGGTATTGCTAAAACTGGATTGAAGCAGTTAGTAAAACCTGTGAATAGCAGCAAAAACAAAAGCGGTCTACCACTTCAGACCAACACCAACACCCACCCAAATCTAGTACCATCCTAAACAGATTGACACCCTTCTCGGCCCATTGATTCCAATGGACTTAGAGATGGAGACTCTGTTTAAAAGAGCACTGTCAGTCGCCCTGAGACCATTCTGTGGGCTCAGCGAGGACACATGCAAGTAAACAACCCACTTGGCCAAGTGGTCAGTTCTGAGAGGTCCAATCTGGCCACAGACACAGAAGGGGGACCTCTTCCTGAAAGGAATCAGGAGAGTGACTCAATATATTAAGTAAGGGTGTCCTGAAGAGTCTGGTCTCTCCCCGCTCTTTCATTTCGGAGGCTTGTTCTGCCCCGACCTCTTGGTTCAACAGCGCATGTGCATGGGAGTGAAGAAGATCCAAGTACAGAACCATTTTGACAAAAACCCAGAGAATGCAATGGTGAGATAAAGCCAGAGAAGGAATTTTGATCAGAAAACCATCCCATGGTGAACTGAAATGGCCTTCTGAACTGGGACAGAAATTCCTTGTATTCCTGGCCCAGCTAGTGATACAATTGACTGGGAAAGTTCCCCATTCACATCTGTCTCATCTAAATTCCAGTCTGAAACCCTGCCAGCTGTTCTTCATTACCTTTCAACTGCTTCATGACACCTTCCAGAAAGTGACTGCTGTCACGGACATCCCAGATCTTCCACTTCAATGCCAGAGGAAAAGTCATGGGATTCTCAAATGTCTCCTTTGCTTCATACCTGGAGAAAAAAAGTGGTGGGCCATTATCTATCCAATTCAGAATTCCCACCAGTGGAGAAAAGAAACGAAGGCGGGAGTAAGACAGAGACCCACTTACCTCTGCAAGGTGCTTCGGACATCCTAAAAAGAGGAAAGAGAAACTGTGCTGTGTGAGCTGCTCTGACTGCCGGTTGAGCACCAGATCAGGTTCAAGGTCTTGGTGTTGACCTTCAAGGCCCTTAACGGTCTGGGACCCATGTACCTTCAGAACCGCCTCTCTTGGTATATCCCCCAGAGCAGGGGTCGTTTCATAGAAAAAGAGCTAGGGGAACTCATTAGCACAACTCATTAGCATATGCCACACCCCCTGACATCACCGGAAGTTTGTCATAAGGCCACACCCCCTGACATCACCGGAAGTGTGTCATAAGGCCACACACCCGCCCATGAGGGCCGGAAGCGGGGTGGCTGGAAGCAGGGGGCGGGGCTTCGTCATGTGCCCCGCCCCCGTACCTCACCCGGGGGAACTGCGATCCCCCGCGATCCCCCCCGAAATGACCTCTGCCCCAGAGGCATTATGCTCTGCTAATTACAACTTGCTTGTGGTCCCCGGCCCAAAAGATATCCAGCTGTCCTTAGCCAGGGCCTTTGGTGCTCTGGCCCCAACCTGGTGGAACTCTCTGCTGAGTAACATTCGTGCCCTGCAGGACCTGATGCAGTTCCACAGGACATGTAAGGCAGAGATGTTCCGCCAGGCGTTCCGTTGAGGACAGCGACAGCGTCCATTTGGCTGGCACTCTTACCCCCCACCCCACAAGGGGGTAGCATACCTGGGAATCTAGACTGCCAGCTGATTTAATTTGATTGAAACCTTATTGTAATTTTAAAAGTTTTAACTGATATGTTTTTTTAACCCATTGTTGTACACTGCCCTGAGCTCACTGGGCAGAAAGGGAAGGGGAAGGAAGGGGGGAAGGAGATCAACATCTGCCACAAGTCACACCGCAAAGGCCCCTCAGACATTGGAGGGAGATACATTCAGACTCCTTCTGTGTACATTTCTCCAAATAGCATATTTTCACTCAAGGACTGAGGCTGTTATCTTCATGGAGTGGGAGAACTTCTTCATGAGGGAATGAGGGAAGCCGTTTCAGAGAACTGGCTTGGCAATTCAGCAGTGCCCGATAGAGTGCCACCTCCCCCAATGCTCCTTTTAAAGTTGCTGCAGATGATATTGCATACAGCCCTCATTTCTGGTTGTCTGGAAGAGCTACCAGTGAACCTGGCATTCCTTGTATGTGTTGCTCAATCGTACACACACAAACACACACACGCTTCAGAGATTCCTCCATCTGCTACCTTCTCCTGCACTTCCCTAACCACTCAGCGAATCCCTCATTCTCCACTGGTGTGATCCCGGGAGCTTCCTCTAGACCCTTGGTCAGCCACTACCTTACAAATAGTGCCAATATTCCCAACTGAGCAAAGGATGCACCAGCAAAGGGCACTTCAACGCCCTCCTGGAACCCCTCCCTCCCCGCACCACCAACATTATGAGTCACGGCCCCTTGATTCTCAACCTGAACAAATAAGGGCTCTAGAGAACTGCAAAAGCTGAGATAGGCAGGTAGGATAGCCTGACTATGCCACGAAAGGGGGAGAGACCCCGGCAGAGGCCCAAGACACACCAGGACCCTCTCGCTCAGCTGACAAACAGCTCTTCTGCAATCAGCTGGAAGCAGCTCTATGGCTGTGGGTCCACATGGTACTTAATGCCTTCAACATGTTCAACCTGCAGTGCTCACCCCCCCCCCCCCGGGCATGAACACTGGATGGCGCGTTACTGCACCAGCAGTAGCTATCCTAAGGAAAACACCTGAACCCTTCCTCTATATTTTATGGTTTCACTAAAATGCACTCATTCAAGTGTTCTTTTGTTTTGTCAGGCAAGGCGGGATCTAAATAGAAATAAATAAATAAATAATAAAAGCAAAAATCAGATGTAAAAATACAGATAACACAGTGAGAGGGCTCCTCAAAAGCAACAGAGAAAGAGCTCACATTGCTGGATGGGCAACCACAGAGGGGCACGTGGGCAGAACGGAAACAAGAACTGACTTGCAACATCAACGGGGTTCACTGGCTTTCTGCCCAAGCGAGGTACAGAGAGGGTTTGGAGCCAGCCTTTTCCCAAAGGCGAACCCGGCCTTTTTCTGCCACGCTCTTACCTGCAAGAGATCACGGGCTGACTGCTCACATTTCTTCTCCATCTCCCAGATGAGGCTTTCAAGACTGAACAGTGCCCCAGATAGTTTGGCCAGAGCTTGGTCCAATTTCCTTGCCACCTCCTTCTCTACCTCTTCCATCCGGGCCAGCAAAAGTTCCTCTTGTTCCTCCAGAAATGCATGCAGTTGCCTGAACTTGACTACCGTCTCTTGCTTCTTTCCCATGGTTTGCTTCTGGGATGGAAAGAGAAGAAAAGCAGGCCAGCGTCAGGAACACAGCCGGTCTCTGCAGTGGGAGGAGACACTTTCGGAGGCTCCTAAAAGCATTTTTCCCTTTCACAGAGATCACAATTAACATTCAGCAGGGAAAGAGAAGGATTCCTAAGGACCCATCATCAGGGTCAAAGGACACGTGGATCTTTCAGCCACAGAGGATTAGGTCTACAGCAGAAGTCCCAGGGAGCAAGTTTCTTCTATCATTTTGTTTCCCCACTACAACACCATCCATATGCTGACCCCTGCACTTCCCAAGAGGATACAAGATACAATGTTTGAACAGAAGTACCACTGAGGGCAAAAGAGCTCAGAAGCCCCTTCCCCTCACTTGGACTCCATATCTAAGCTGCAGCTTTCCTGCCTACACTTTGGGCAAGAAAAAACTGCAGAGGTGGGGGAAATCTACACGCTGCTGTGCATCCCAAGTGCTTTCCCCCTTAGGATCAGCAATGGCTGAATGCCCCTTGGCTAAATTCAGGATCGGCAGGGTATCTATCAATGCTTCTAGCAAGTCGGGTGGGGGGGGGTGTTGAGGGAATGAGCTGTCTCCGAGTAAAATTCCAGCTGCAAGATTTTTTCTTGTGTTCTCGGCTCAGTACTTACCAGCTCTCCCCAGCACTGACCTACCCGCTCAAGGCCACTGCGTAGGCATTCAACAGGTCTGCTAATTAATTTACTGATTTCAGCTGTAACAGTGGGGAGGGGGGGGGAGTCTCTCTCCTCTTTCAGGACAGGGTCCTGACTGGTTGAAGGTGATCAGAAGATCATTGGCCTAAGTTTGAGTGGGGCAAGCATGCTGCCTGCTGTTGATTTCTCTCTCTCTCCCAGAATACTGGAACTTGAGAGCATCTGTCACGGCTCAGGTGGGGTGTCACCTGATGCTGCCACCACTCTGGATTTAGGTTCCCTTGAGAAGGCCCAGAGCACCCTCCCAAGACCTTCAGACCTCCCTTATTTGGCCGAATAATACGCGTGAGGACCAGGCAGAGTACAACAAGGAAAATAGTTTATTTTATAGGAGGTCAAACAAACAAGGTGCAGGAATAATAACAGTAAGTGGGTGAAAAGAAAAGAAATCAAATGCCCTAACGTGTCTAAATATATACTGTCCCTAGCTCACTATCTGCAGTGGCCTTAGACTACTCACCCCTCCCTCAGGATGAGGGTCTCTTTCCTGCAGCAGCCTTCCTTCTGGCTCTGCCCTCTGGGAGAAAGAACAGCTTCTGCTCTGGCACCAGCCCTTTTGTTCCAATCCCTCCTCTTTTCCTATTGGTCAATTTTGGCTCCAAAACCTCTCAGGGGCTTCTGGGAGTTGTAGGTCCAGCCTCCTCTACTGCTAGCCAGGCTCCCTGGGCCTGCTAGGCTGTGCTTGCCCAGAGATCATGACAGCATCCAATGAAGCTGATGGAGCAGTAGGTTCAGGGCGGACCACAGGAAATACTACTTTACGCAGAGAGTGACTCAAAGGTGGAATTTGCTGCCAGAGGATGCAGTAACGACCATGGGAATAGACAGCTTTGAAAGAGGATTAGAAAGATTCATGGAGGATAGGGCTATCAGAGGCTACTAGCTGTGGATTTTCCTATTGGTCAATTTTGGCTCCAAAACCTCTCAGGGGCTTCTGGGAGTTGTAGGTCCAGACTCCTCTACTGCTAACCAGGCTCCCTGGGCCTGCTAGGCCGTGCTTGCACAGCCCAGAGATCATGACAGCATCCAGTGAAGCTGATGGAGCAGTAGGTTCAGGGCGAACAACAGGAAATACTACTTTACGTACAGAGTGACTCAAAGGTGGAATTTGCTGCCAGAGTATGCAGTAACGGCCATGGGAATAGACAGCTTTGAAAGAGGATTAGAAAGATTCATGGAGGATAGGGCTATCAGAGGCTACTAGCCGTGGAGACAGAAGGGAACTTCCACATTCAGAGGCCAGTCATCCTCTGGATCCTAGTGCTAGGATACAACATCTAATGAAGGCCTCTATACCCTGTTGTTGACCCTAGATGAATGGCTATGATACCAGAGGGCAGGGAGTGCCAGCGGTACAAGAGTGCTCAGTTCCACAGCATTCCCAGCCCCACCACTCAAGTATAATTTTGTTCAGAATTCCAATGTTAAGCCTACCTTTTCCGGGCCTGGTCTGCTGAATACTCACCATCAGTGCATGGAAGTTCCATACTGGAAGGGGTGGGGGGCCTGCCTTGTTGGTTGACTATTCTGCTGTTTGTACTACATTTTTTTTCTCAATACTAGTTCTAAATTCTGTTCACTCCCCAGCCACAGTGACACTTACGAGCAGCTCTTGGCTTTCCTTCACTACGTCTCCTTCATATGCCAAAATTCTCTCTCTCTCCTTCTTCAGAATCTTCAAACAGTTCCGGAACTGATCCTGGGTGGGGGGGTGAGGAAGAGACCCAAAACTGAGATTTGTTCCTCTTTAGACATTTACTATAAAACATATGAGAAGCAAAACTGTCATTTAAGGGCCAAACTAGATCTAACTGCCCCATGTCCATAACAGGATCTTCAACAACATTTTTCAAAAGCTAAACATAGGTAGTTTCCTCACAGGGATGGTGGCCCATTCTCCTCTGATTGCCGCTTCAGTACAAAAATATTTGCAGTGGCAACTCTGCTTCCTCACGGAGATTTACTCCATCCTTTATACTCCTGCCCACCATTCCATCCAGTGCCACAGGAGGGTTTTTTGCACTAAAAAAATTCAGTCACTGGGGGTGAGGGAAGGTTTTGAGGAGAATGCCAGGCAAGAGGTAACTGGCACTGGATTGGGAATGGTGGAGGAAATGCATACCTTCCACTCCACACTTTCCCTCACTCTTTGGTTATGATCATTCAAGAAAAAGAATACAAAAGCAGAAGTCTATCAGTGGATACTAGCCATTCAGAGCCACTAAACTTCTGAATCCCAGAGCCAGGAGGCAACATCAGGGGAAAACCTCGGCCTCCGTGCCCTGTTGTTGGCCATCCAGAGGAACTGGTTGGCCACTGTGTGAGACAGGATGCTGGACTGGATGGCTTATTGGTCTGATCCAGCAGGGCTCTTCTTATGTTCTTATAAAATGGAATTAGATAGATTCATAGAGGAGAGGTCTGTCAGTGGCTACTAGCCATGGTGACTGAGGGGAACCTCCACAGTCAGAAGCCGTCAACCTCTGAATCCCAGAGCCAAGAGGCAACCTCGGGGGAAGGCCTCGGCCTCCATGCCCTGTTGTTGGCCCTCCAGAGGAACTAGTTGGCCACTGTGTGAGACAGGGTGCTGGACTACATAGACCACTGGTCTGATCCAGCAGGGCTCTTCTTATGTTCTTAACTCCGGGCCAACAACTGAAATCAGGAAAGCTCTGTGTGTGTGAGTGGAGGGAGTGGCATTTAAACCAGGCAGCTGCCCCCTTGTAGCTCAGCCACACCATGGGCTGCCAGATGTTAACAAAGCAAGACAGGAAGTGAGCCAGTCTCCCCATACCACCCCACACTGGCGACAGCAGGAGGTCAGGAGAAAAGGAAAAGGGAGACACCAAACCAGGAAGGAGGCATCAAAGAAGTGTTTTCACTCCCCACTTGGGGCCCAGAGGCTGGGGCAGGAACTGGAGGGAGTTTCCCTGCAAAGAGACCAAGGAGAAGGGAAGGATCCACAGCTCTTCCCCACCGACCTCCACTTTGTTGATTTCCTACCTGGTACTCCTGGGAGGCCTCCTCAAGAGGAAGGGTCTTGTGATTTCTGTGCTCCTTGGACCGGTCACAGACCACACAGATGAGAGCTTGATCATCCTTGCAGAAGAGCTTCAGGGGCTCCTGGTGCTTCTGGCAAACTCCCCCTTTTCCGGCTGTCCCGACTGCCTGATGCCCGAAACAAAGAAACAAGATTTGTTTCATTTTTTTTCTCCCCCAGGACTGTAGAGACTGGATATAATATGTGCCTTGTTCAGTTAAAAAAACCCAAAACTCAAAACCTTTTAAAATAGAAGCTGGACGTAACCAAGTGTTACCCTATGCACTTGGCCCTCTGCTGAAGTCTGGGTGGGGAAAGGACTGTGGCTCAGCGGAAAAGCCTTTGCTTTGCATGCAGAAGGTCCCAAGTTCAATCCCCGGCATCTCCAGTTAAAAGGACTAGATGATGGGGAAGACCTCTGGCCTGAGACCCTGGAGAACTGCCGCCAGTCTGCGTAGACATTACTGGCCACGAGGGACCAAGGGTCTGATTCAGTAGAAGGCAGCTTCATGTGTCAAGGCATTTTGTCCTTGAGAGGGAGCTGCAGGAGGGGAAATAAAGAAAAAGAGTGTTCTGATGAAAAAGAGGGAGATGGGAGCCATCTGGGCCTCAGCGCAGAAAAAACAGGGAAGCCTTGGGAAGCCTGACACCTCCAGAGATCTGCAGCAGCCCCAAGAGCACAGTGGCAGTGAAGCCACAGCGTGCAAAGACTGAGACTGCAAAGACTGCAGAATGCCTCAGAGAGACGGGAAAACAGGCAAGCCTGATCTTGTCAGATCTCGGAAGCTAAGCAGGGCCAACTCTGGTAAGTACTTTGATGGGAGACCTCTGAAGGTCACCACACCTTAAAAAGGATATTACAGCTTTGGAAAAAGTGCAGAAAAGGGCAACTCGAATGATAAAAGGGTTGGAACACTTTCCCTATGAGGAAAGGTTAAAGCGCTTAGGGCTCTTTAGCTTGGAGAAACGACGACTGAGGGGTGACATGATTGAGGTTTACAAGATTATGCATGGGAAAGAGCAGGTAGAGAAAGAGGTACTTTTCTCCCTTTCTCACAATACAAGAACTCGTGGGCACTCCATGAAATTGCTGAGCGGTCGGGTTAGAACGGATAAAAGGAGGTACTTCTTCACCCAAAGAGTGATTAACACGTGGAATTCACTGCCACAGGAAGTGGTGGCGGCTACAGGCATGGACGGCTTCAAAGGGAATTAGATAAGCATATGGAGCAGAGGTCCATCAGTGGCTATTAGCCACAAGGTATAGATAGGGACTCTGGGGCAAGTGATGCTCTGTCATCTTGGTGCTTGGGGGGGTCAACAGTGGGAGGGCTTCTAATGTCCTGGCCCCACTGGTGGGCCTCCTGATGGCACTGGTATTTCTGGCTACTGTGGGATACAGAGTGTTGGACTGGATGGGCCTTTGGCCTGATCCAACATTGGCGTCTCTTATGTTCTTAAGGAATGACAGTAGTCAGGAGGCTTTATCCAGCCACCTCCCTGAATATCCTCCAGCCCCCCAGTAGGGGTCAGTCACCAGAGGCTGCCATGACTTCCATTACAAAAATACAAAAAAAGAGAGTCAGGAAAAGACTCTCATCACCACCTCTTTGGTTCCCACCATGAGTTGCGCTGCTATATTTGAATTTACTATACATGTGTCCTGCTTTGATTCCCCACCCCTTCTCGTTGGAGTAAACCCTATTTGTATTTTAATTTCTATTTGTAAATGATTATAAGTGATTGGAGGGTCTGGGAGTTGTTTTTAATTTTTTCTTTCTTTGCCTACTTTCACTGTGGTCCCCCTCCTATAACAAAGCCAGGACCCATAATTTCTTCCCTCAACTGGACTTAGTGGGGAAAGCTGGAGTTACACTAGTATGATGGACAGGCGAGGTTCTGCCTCTCCCTAAGAGCGACCAATGAGAGCTGATGGAATGTTGGTGAGAGGGACTGTTGAAAAATAGCCGTCATTTCAGTTGGGAGTCAGACTGGCTGAGAGAAGCTGTGGCAGAAGAACAGCTTAACAGCTGACTGGGAAAAGGTCAACTTGTAAGGAAGAGTCCCAAAGGCCACAATGGGGAAACAGTTCAAAAGCTGAATTGAAAAAAACGTTGTAACCTTCACTTGATTCCCTCCAATGTTATGCTCAAACCATAAATAAAAAGTTAACTCCTTGGGGTTTTTTAGTCTCACGGTGGTTTAGTCTCAGGGAAAGTAGCATACACACTACTAGCATACACACAAGCTAAGATCTTGACCTATATGGATTTTTAAGCCACCTTTCAGATTTAACTCCAAACCAGCCTATCCACTGTCTCACAGATGGCATCTCCTCCTAGGTGGCCCTCCAGACAACACCATTAATACTATAAATGAATGACAATTCTGATAGAGGCATGAGAATTTCTCTCTCACTCACTTGGAACCAATGACCCGATATTCTTTCTGATGGGAATTCAGTTCAGTTTGATTGGGGGGGCGGTGTTCCACTCCTTGTAACTTCATTCTTCTGTATTTTAAAATGTAAAAGTGAGGGGGGGGGGAAATAACGTAGCGTCACATCCTGGCGATGCCGGAGCAGCGCGGATTACTGTCCCCCCCGCGGCAGCGATCCTGCGACGACGCATGGATCTCCCGCCGCGGTTTGGCAAGCTTAGTCGTGTAAGAAATGAAGTGAGACATACGTACTTTTCCCCCCTCTCTACCGAAGGACCTCTCTCTAGACCACATTGGTGGTTCTACCCTCAGGTGCTAGGATCACCAGGCTGCTTGATGAGCTCACTCTGGAGCAGGCCACACAGAACTGTCCATTTAAGAAGCAGTCATCTGTTAAGTCAACTCCTGCTACTTTCCACGAAAGTGATGGCCTCTCTACTTGTGTTCCTGGATTGTTTTGCTCATATGGAGACTGTGTTGTTCTGAGCACCTCAGGGTGACCTTGCTGGTACTTGGCCTGTGCAGCTCAGTGCACTGCAGGAGTACTATGTGCAAATGTTTTTGCCGCATTCCTAAGTTGCCTCCTCCATGTAGCACTGGTAAATCTGGCACGATGTTTGCCAGGAGCTTTCTTGGGGGCAGTAAGAGGTGAGAGGTGTGAGGGGGAGTTGGTGTGATGTGGTGGACGTTTCTTCAGGTTTATGAGGGAGGCACTCATCGAAATGGCTCCTAAAAATGTCCTTTACTATCTCCCCATAAACATTTATACCCTGGCCCTGCTCCTACACCTGACAGACACCAGCCTGTCTGGTATTGGGGGGGATTGTATTTAAAGGCATCGGGGAGGCTGGGCCAGCAGCAGTGCTAAGGTAATCCTGCTGAGCAAACCTCCCCGGCGGCTGTAAGCATCCCACCTCCTCTTCTACACCCGACAGGCAGCTGCCTGTCCAGTGTAGGACAAGGAGGGGGGAGGAGTATTAGAAGCCACTGTGGAGGCAGGGCTGGCAGGATCACTAAGGAGTTACTTCTGGGGCAGGCACCCTTGTGGCTTTAAGTACCCTGCAACTGCTGCTGCACCTGACAGACAACCGCCTGTTAGGTGTAGGAGGTAGGGGGAGTGTATTGGAAGCCATCCCACCTCCTCTCCTACACCTAACAGGCAGCTGCCTGTCCAGTGTAGGAGGGGGAGGAGTATTAGAAGCCACTGTGGAGGTGGGGCTGCACTTGACAGACAACCACCTGTTAGGTGTAAGAGGTGGGGGGAGTATGTTGGAAGCTATCAGAGAGGCTGGGCCAGCAGCTTTGCTTCACCTCATAGGTGGTTCTTGGCCACTCCTGATTTCCTCAACTGTCATTAGCTCTCTGCAGTCCCCTGTAACTGTTGGGGGTGGGGTTTACATCAGAACACTGAGCTCTGCAGCTGACCAATCACAGAGTCGAGGGTGCAGAGAGGCAGCTGCCTGGCAGCCGCATAGGAATCAATGGGGAGAGCACATTTTCCCCCTTTTGACCATCTTAGGGGTCGAATTTTTAAAAATCCCTTCTTAGCGAGCACCTATGCCATGGTAGGAGTGCTGTCCCCAAATTTGGTGTCTCTAGGTCCAGCAGTTTGGCCTGGGCGTTGATTTTACAGTGAGGGGACATTCTTTTATATATATAGATGATCTCAGTATCGGAGGGCCCATGGAACACCAACTATACAACCCCCAAAGAGCGTTTTGCTCCGCTTAGAACAACTTACTGGTGATCCCTGGCCCAAAAGACATCCAGCTGTCTGTGACCAGGGCCAGGGCTTTTTCTGCCCTGGCCTCGGCCTGGTGGAACTCTCTGCCAAATGACATCCGCACCCTGCGGGATCTTATGCAATTCCGCAGGGCTTGCAAGGTGGAGATGTTCCACCAGACCTTCAGCTGAGGGCAGCGACAGGCACCATCTTGGCTGTCATTCCCTCCCTCCTTCTTCTCCCTTTTCAGTTTGGTGCAGTGATTAAGTGCGTGGACTCTAATCTGGGAGAACCGGGTTTGATTCCCCACTCCTCCACTTGCAGCTGCTGAATGACCTTGGGCAAGCCATAGTTCTGTCAGAGCTGTTCTCTCAAGGACAGTTCCGGAAAGAGCTCTCTCAGCCTCACCTACCTCACAGGGTGTCTGTTGTGGGGAAGGGAAGGGAAAGGAGCTTGTAAACTGCTCTGAGACTCCAAGTGAAGGGTATAAATCCAATCTCCTCCTCCTCCTCCCACCTCACCCGCCCATGAGGTGGGGACACAGTTGGAATTCGATGTATTAACACCATCTGAGTATTATTATTTTGTGAAATTGTTTTAATCAGTCTTTTAAATTATTGGAATTGTTTGGATATGATGTGTTCTTATTATTGTTGTCCATCGCTCAAAGCCCTGAGTACTCAGTGACTGAGCGATTTTTAATCCAAATTATAAATAAATGAACTGTACATAATGGATAGGCCACAGTCCCAGTGGAAGGAAACAGGATTGTACAGCACCAGCTCCTTAGCCAAAGGTGACTTCTCCCGTATGAAAGAAAATCTCCCCCTCCAGCACCTTTTGGATATACTTATTACTATCTGATGCTTTCCGAGCCAATTTGTAGCTGAAAGAGGGGACAGGATACAGTATTTTTAGTTACAAGCAGGGCTTTTTTTGGGGTGGGGGGGAGCTCCAGAACGGACTAGATTTATTTAATTTATACTCTGCCCATCCCACTGGCCTGATCCAACATGGCTTCGCTTATGTTCTTATGATCTCAGTATGGGAGTTCCGGAGGCTCTTAGACAAAATTCTTTTTAAAATGTTTTAAAATTCATGATTTTTCAGTATACAGATTGAAAACTTCATTTCCCTCTTGAGAGTTCCAGCACCTCCCACCCCCACAAAAAAAGAGCCCTAGTTACAAGCCCACAAGAGACAAAAGACCCCATAGTCAAAGAGTGTTTTTGCATCAGAGAATGGTAAAGAGCACTGCTGGATCAGATCCAGAGAGGACCTTGACTCCAAACTCTAGACAACTAGATGCCGGGGAGGTGGTGGTGGGGTGTGCATTTCCACCTACTAAGTAGGATGTCTGAAGTTACAGCAGGGCAAATCCAAGGTTGCTGTCAGGTTCATAAATCTAATTGATTTAATACCGATCATTACTTGCGTTTAAACCAAGACTCTTTTCGCTGTTCTGGATCTAAGGAGAAGAAGCCAAGAAGATGCTACAGCTGTTCCTCGTCCTGATTCACACAGATTTCTTACTTACCTTATTTTCCCGAGAAGCCTCCTCCAGAGGAATCACCTCCTCATCTTTGTGCTTCTCACAGCTGCCGCACACCAGGCAGAGGGGGGCTTCGTCGTCCTGGCAGGAAAATCCTCAAGCGCTCCCGGTGCTTTTCGCAGACCCCCCCCCTCCCCCCCCCCCCCTTCGTACCTACCTCTTCCCCCTCCTGCAGAGTGAATCTCTTGGTTATTTCCACAAAGTTGGCCAGCTGCCTGTTCGGGCGGAGGCTCCCCAGCTCAACCCTTCCCCTGCAGTGGGGGCAGGTAGGCTCGGACGAGGCCCCCGGGTCCCCCCAGCTGCAGATCAGGCAGGCCCGGCAGAAGTTGTGGCCGCACTCGGCGATAGTCACCGGGTCGCTGAAGTAGTCCAGGCAGATGGAGCAGGTGGCCTCCTCGCAGAGCTCCTCCAGGGGACCCCCCGCCGCCATGGCCGCCCGGATTAGGGGAGAGAGCAAGACCGAGCAGTAGTTTTGGTTTTCCCGCTTTCTAGAACAGCGACGGGCGTTTCCCTTCCGGCAAATGCCTCTCACGCGGGCGGTGCAGCCGACGGCCCGGGGATCGAGCCACGCTGAGCTGCCAAAACAACAACACCACCTCAGTCTAGAAAAGGAGCCTGGGGCGGAAGGCAAGCCTCAAATTGTCTCGTTTGGCCTGACGTTTGCAAGCGCCTCCGATGGAAGGGAGACACTTAGTTCCCTTTGCATCCCAGGGGTTTGCAAGCGGGATGGATGTGTTCCTGGGGCGGGCGCGAAGAGGTCAGAGAGCTCACTCACGACCCTAGGAAACCTCGTCGACTGCTTGAACGGGAAGGAAGAAAGAGGAAAAGTTGACAGCCCGACAGGAGGGGCAGAATCGAACGGCAACAAGGAGAAAACCAGGCACTTGGGGTGGGGGTGAGGGGGGTAACAGACACCCACGTGCACCCTCCCTTTCCAAAAACTCCCCAGCGAGCTCCACCACTCCCACCAAAAGGTGGTAGTTGTTGTTGTTGTTAAGTCGCACAGTCGAGCCCGACTCTTGGCGACCCCATGGACCAGATCCCGCCAGGCCCAGCCCTCCTGTCTTCCCCCATCCTCTGAAGTTTGCTCAATTCCATGTTCGTTACATCTATGACACTGTCTAACCATCTCATCCTTTGCCTCCCCGTCTTCTTTGACCTTCAATCTTTCCCAGACCCCCCCCCCCCCAAATAAAAATTTCTCTTCCCCTGCCCCTTCCCTCCCCCGCCAAAGGCAGATTCGGATTTGGGGATGAGGAAGCAAGCTGACTCAAAGGGCAGATTACTCATCACTTGAGTAATTCCACTTCTGCGGGTGCTTTCCCTGCAGCTCTGAGCTGTTCCCCCCCTAGGGCAACACATGCGTGAGAAGGGAATCATATTTCTGAAAGATCTCTGCTGTTAAGAAAACTCTGTGCAAGCAGAAAATCAACTCTGTGGGTTCTCTGTTTGCAAGATTTTCATCACCCATATTCCAATCTTTGCGTCTCACCACCAGCGCATTGAGCCCTGGCTACAAGAAGAGATTTTAAAAACTTCTATAAATAACATTTGGTTGGGTATTCGGAAGAGAATTTTGAAAGAGGGGTGCTGTTTGCAATATGCACATTCTGCTACAGGGGTCTCTACAGATCAGATGTAAATACAGGAGGCCACAATCTGGATTGTGGACAAAATCTTTCCAGGATCAGTCGTATGCTGCTCTCCCTCTTGTTTCCATATCATCTAATTAGAGGAGGAGGAGGGTGACCATGATGATGACAAATTGTCACAGATATTTGACTGGTAGATGGTGTTCTGCGATTCGAGATCTAGCCAAGTTCTCAGGAAATGCAGATGTACCTTCACAGGATTCTGGCTGTTCCAAGCAACACTGTCTTCTGGAGCTGAGTTTGTGTTATTTGCTCCGTGCCCAGAATGTCCAGGTGTTTCTTGAGACTTCTAGGCCCTGCTCCAAGGGCTCCAATTATAACTGGCATGATGGTAACATTGCTCTCCCAGAGACGCTCTAGCTCTATTGGAAGGTTGTAGTATTTTGCAATCTTCTCCTGTTCCTTCTTCTCCATTCTACTATCTTCTGGAATGGCAGTGTCAGTGATCCAAACCCTATTTCTCATCCCCCCCCCCACAATTGTGTGGGATGTTATGCTCCAGGCGTTTATCAGTTTGCAATCAGAAGTCACAAAGAATCTTTGTTTCATCATTGTCCATGATTTTGTCTGGATTGTCCTCCCATTAATTTCTGGCTGATGAGAAGTCATACTTCTTTGCAAAGATTCCAGTGCAACATAGCGGCAACTCTATCGTGATGTTCTTTAGGGTCGGTTTGAGCAATTTTATTGCAGGCACTGACCATGTGCCCAGCTGTTTCATCCTTTGCCTTTGCTGTCATCACTGATCTTCTGAATCTCTGTTTTCATACTGTTCGTTTTGAGGGCCTGCTCTTGTGCAACTAGAATGAGTCCTGTTCCTTTCTTCAAGTGCCCATTTTGGAGCCACTTCCAGGTATTTTCACTATCAACTTTGTCCTCTGTGTCTTTCAAATACTGCCCATGCAAGTGGGCACTCCATGAAATTGCTGAGCGGTCGGGTTAGAACGGATAAAAGGAAGTACTTCTTCACCCAAAGAGTGATTAACACTTGGAATTCACTGCCACAGGAAGTGGTGGTGGCTACAAGCATGGAAGGCTTCAAAAGGGAATTAGAGAAGCATATGGAGCAGAGGTCCATCAGTGGCTATTAGCCACAAGGTATAGATAGGGACTCTGGGGCAACTGATGCTCTGTCATCTTGGTGTTTGGGGGGGGGGTCAACAGTGGGAGGGCTTCAAATGTCCTGGCCCCACTGGTGGACCTCCTGATGGCACTGGTATTTCTGGCCACTGTGTGATACAGAGTATTGGACTGGATGGGCCTTTGGCCTGATCCAACATTGGCATCTCTTATGTTCTTATGTTCTTAAGTGCTTTTCCTTCCAGTTGTCAAAGAGAGTTTTGATTTCAATCATATTGTAATCTTCTTTGGGTTTCTGTAACTTTAAGTAAATCTGCCTTGTACACTTCAACTAGAAGTTTCTCTTTGCTTTTCTAGGTGGTGGTCATTCAGAGCTTGTCTTTCCTCTTTAACCTTATATTTCAAGCAACCTCTTCCACCTAATTTTCTTGGGTAAGTAGAGGCGATTTACATCACTTCTGGGGTGTAGTGAGTGATGCATCGTCATTATCTTCTGAGTTCTGCAATGTATTGCTTCCACTTCTGCTTGTTTCCAATCAATAATGTCGGCTGTGAACTAGAACTGGGACTGCCCATGTGTTAATTGACCTGACTGTGTCGCCTCCATTCAATTTTGTTTGCAATATCTTTTTAATCCTTTGGTAATACAAGCATTCTGTGTGCTTCAGCATTTAGTCATGCTGGCCACGTGACCATGGAAACGTCTTCGGACAGCGCTGGCTCTTCAGCTTGGAAATGGAGATGAGCACTGCCCCCTAGAGTCGGATTCGGCGAGCTTTCAGCCAAGGGAAACCTTGACCTTTACTAATACTCCTTGGTTATATTTTTTTTAACAAGGGCATGTTTGATGTCAGCTTCCAAAATTCAAAGATATTTGTAATTTTCTTCAAAGCTCAGTGTTTGGATGCTGTTGTTTGGCATCTTGATTTCGTCTCATTCTATGATTTTTTCCCCTCCATTCAGTGCTAGTGCTGCACACTTCTCAAGGCCAAATTCCATTGCTATATCTTTGGTCACTTCCACACTGTCATTTTTGTCTCTATTGCTTCAGGGATCCCCCCCCCCTGGTGCTGAAGAAGACTCTTGAGAGTCCCTTGGACTGCAAGAAGATCAAATCAGTCAATCCTAAAAGAAATCAACCCTGACTGTTCCCTGGAAGGCCAGATAATGAAACTGAAGCTCAAATACTTTGGCCACCAAATGAGAAGGGAGCACTCACTGGAGAAGACCCTGATGCTGGGAAAGATTGAAGGTCAAAGAAGACGGGGACGGCAAAGGATGAGATGGTTAGACAGTGTCATCGATGCAACGAACATGAAATTGAGCCAACTTCAGAGGACGGCGGAAGACAGGAGGGCCTGCCGGGATCTGGTCCATGGGGTCGCGAAGAGTCGGACTCGACTGTGCGACTGAACAACAACAACAACATCTCATCCCTCAGTCCTCTCATTTGTATCCTCAAGACCAGGGCTTTTTTTGTAGAAAAAGCCCAGCAGGAACTCATTAGCATAATAGGCCACACCCAACAGCAGAAACATTAGCATATTAGGCCACACCCAACAGTGCATTACATTAGCATATTAGGCCATACCCCCATGACTTCCCTTGACTTGCCAGCCCTTGAACAGGTTGGGGAAGACACGGGGAGGCATTTAAATGCCTCCCCAATCCTTCCAGGGCTCCCCCGGCCCGGCCACCTCAGAGTTGCCGGGGGGGGGCGCTCTCCAGGCCTTCCCTCTGTAGCCACGCACGCAGAGGTTTTGACTGTAGTGGGCGTGGCCAACTCTGAAGCCAGCCGGAACTCCGTTCCTGTGCGTTCCTGCCCAAAAATAGCCCTGCTCAAGACAATAAATTATCTATATTTTAGTATACTTCTTTTTCAGAATAGTATATTAGAATACTGAATGGATGTCTGCTGACATTACATCCAGCTCAAAATATACTGTTGTGCCCTCCACGCGCCCTCTACACTTCAGAGAATTAAGATTCTGTTACTTCCCACAAGAAACAGCACCTTTAGACATTTATCTGCTGTTGTGACGTATTTATTGCTTTACAACTGTTGACCTCATAACCTTAACTTGTTATTTCGTTTTTCACTTTGGGTAACTTAAACATCATCATGTTACATGTTAATGTGCTGATAAATCCCTGTCTGTAAATTTAAGAACCTCACCTGCCATTCCAATGTATTTGAAAAAGGGTGCCTTGCACAGGAAAGCTAATACCTTGAATAAACCTTTGTTGGTCTTAAAGGTGCCCCACTGGACTCTAAATTTGTACTACTGCTTCAGACCAACAGGGCTGACCACCGGGATCTATCCGCATCCCTCCACCCATTCTTGTCCAAGAGCTCCTTAAGAAATCTTAAACCCACATGCTCGGCAGCAGGGGTCATTTTGTAGAAAAAGAGCTAGGGGGACGCATTAGCATAACTCATTAGCATATGCCACACCCCCTGACATCACCGGAAGTGTGTCCTCCCCACAGCCGGCGGCGACCTCCAGCGGGCACCGGCAGGGAGCTCCAGGCCCCGTCCTCCCGCCCCTCACCGGGGGGGGGGATGGCGTCCCCCCGCGTCCCCCCCCAAATGACCCCTGCCCGGCAGACATGCAAAAGCCAAGTTCTTCCTCCTAGCAGTGAAAAGGAAAGTGTCTGTTTAACACCTTTAGATCTCCCCCAATGATGGGCTGTGCAGGGAGTCAGGGTTTCAATCC